AAGGCCGCAGCCCTTACACATTCAGAACTGCTGTTCTAGAGTGAAAGAAGAGGCTGGCTGTGTTGTGGGAGGCACAGGAATTAGGAGAGGCATGTGACCCCAAATGATGGCAATAACAAAACCAAAATATTAAGAGGACAAACAAATCCGTGTGTTGACAATCACTTTGTACACTCATTTTCATTGTTCACTTGACCTTCTTTTACCTGTAGATGATGGCTGAGAAACCAACAGTTAAAACTTCCTGGATTATTCTAGGAAGAGAAAAAATATGGTATACTAAGCCCAGTGAAAAAAAGGCTGATAGTGAATGCAATAATGAGTTTTGTATAGATAAAGGGATAAAATACGAATGATGGGAAGATATTATCTATTTCCATGGGAACGAGGGGAAGAGGGAAGGTCAAATGTTAAGAAGGGTGCCCCATGGTCGTAGAGACACAGAATGATTTTTTTCAGTGGAATAATATTTCATAATTATAGATACTCTGCTAGGTAAGTTTATCTTACAATGGTTTAGGTTCTATACTGCCCTGAATGAGGGATAGCCTTTTGCTGAACTTTTCCAGACCATGATTAAAATTCAGTTTATTGGCTTTCTTATAATCTTGCAAGGTCTAAGAAAAATAATGGTTCTACGCTAATCTGACTTGGTGCTTTTAGCCTGGGAATTTCTGTTTTACAGTCATCTTCCCACAGTATTTTATTTTATGATGCAAAGAAGTCAAAGGAAAAGAAAATCTTGATAGTCTCCTATGCAACAGAGCTGCTCAATTCATTTAAATGGAAATGTGCATTTTCATGGAAATTCAGATCTGTATTGATGAACAAAGATAAGCTGCCACTATTAGACAGAACCGTGATATGCCCACAAAAGTGCCCCAGAAAACTCATAGAAAATGCAAAATTTACAGGGAAACATAGGGAATGTTAAGAATTTATACACAGATAAATCAAAATTTTAAGGTTCTGTCACATAGTATTTGGATGGTTATAAAATTGAAATCTCAACAAAGGTTGTGGAAGGAGGATGAATCTGATGAGCATCGTGAATTAATGTGAAAAAACTAAATAACACATTACCTTTTATAAGTAAATATTAAACATCAAATAAGCATTCTCCAGTGAATATGTGAAGAAATATTTTGGCTCAGGTGTAATATCATGCTCTTTGATGTCTAAAAATATTAATGTGGCCTTTTTTATAACTCATTTAAGAAATTGGTGGTGCCTGTGGCTTAAGGAATAGGGTGCCAGCCTCATATGCTGGAGGTGGCACGTTCAAACCCAGCCCCGGCCAAAAACTGCAAAAAAAAAAAAAAAAGAAGAAGAAGAAGAAGAAAAATAAATTATTAAATGATTGTAAATTGTGATCTCCCAACTAGAAACCAGGAAAGTGTTGGTAACTGTTTCCTTCCACGGAGTTGAAGTGTTGTGAGTTTATGCATTTTTTTTCCATTTCTACTGTCAATTCTGCCTGGATATTCTTCACTTCATACTTGTTCTGACCTGGTTTCTGACCTCTCTCATCTCCTTCACTGTCCTTTATTTCTGTTCAGCAGCTACACTGTCATGTAAGTCACCGGACTGACATTTCCAGGAGGACCGCCTAACGCACACGACGGAGAAGGAACAATCAGTACGGGGGAACAAAAGAGGAAGGATACGAGACAACTGCAAGAAAGTATTCATGGTTCAAAGTTGAGCCAGTAAATAGTTGTGCAAGTATGTCACAAAGTTATTTTGCTAATTATTTTTCTTCTATGTTAGTCAAGAATATTTTTCCACACTGCTCTTATGGAAAACATCTGTACATCCACCAGTTTGTTCCACACACACACGTAGATCTTTAGAAACATGACTTTTATGATTTAAATGTGCCTCCCAGTGTTCACTTTGGGAAATAAATGTTTAATACCACAGTGTTGAGAGGTGGGACCTTCAGGAGTGATTAGGGAGCTGCTTGATAGGGGGTTTCCCTCCTCAGAGCTGGACAGGGACCCCTATTTTCTAGGTTTGGGAAAATAGGCCTTTCCAAAGCAATTTCTCTCGACTTACGATCAAAGAAAAACAGCCTGATTGGTGTCTCATCTGGGCAGTGGTCTTTCCTGGAGTGAAAATCTCCCGTGGTCCCTCTTAGGACAGGACTAGCAGGACCAGACTGTTCATTTGCTAATCAACATGGGCAGAAGGTTTTCTGTCTGCTGGCCCTTGGCCAAGTGTGACATTCATCCCTGCTCCCAGGCAGTGTATGAACTCCTAGGCAAAAGGCCCACAGGGGCTTCCCACTTGAGCTCCCCCTCCTGGTGGCTGCCAGAGGTTCTGTGGCTCTTTTCACTTTTCTATTTCTCTTTCTGTCTATAAACTTTGTCCTCTTGCTGATCCACGTGGTCCCTGGTTTTATTCTTTGAACTCCAAGATCAAAAGGACTGGGCAGGAGAAATTTGGGCAACACTCTCATGAATGAATCAGTGCAGTGAGTTTTTTATACAAAGGAGAGTTTGGCCCCCTTGCTTTGATGTGATGCCTCCCACTATGGAATGGATGGCAATAAGAAGGCCCTCGCCACGTGCCGTCGATCTTGGAGTTCCAGCCTCCAGAACCTTGAGCCAGATAAATTTGTTTATATAAAGTTACCTACTATGTGGCATTCTATTATAGTGTCATAAAACAGATAAGACAGTGACCTAAAGGAGTTATCAACAGAGCCATACTGGCTTGGGCATAGACGGGGAAGTTAGATAACAACGTCTTTGTTACATGACGCACTTTTATTATCATGATTTTTCTGCATCTGGATAGTAAAAAGACTCTTAGCATATTGTTTGAAAATTGAGATAGTCAAACACAAATAAAGATTAAAAAAGAGACACCACAAGGACTGACTATATAGACTATATATGGTTCACATAGTCTATCGTTGCCAAATGAGAGAAATTCCATTATGACTTATAAGAGTTCAGAAAGAGTGGGTAGAAAATGGTATTAAAATAGTCTCCTTAGTAGTTATTGTTTGCTTTTGAGGTATCCATTATACCTCTTTTTAGATAAAAAGAAAGATTTGTATTTTGATTAAAACAGATCTAAAACTTTTAGTTTAGATTTATCTAAATCTAAAGTTTTACAATAAACTTTAGAAAGTTTATGTTTCAGATACTTACTTTGCTTTCTCGATGTGATTTCAGACATTGAGATTTCTTTAATTTATGCACAAAGTGCTACAACAGAAAATGCTTCTGCCGCATCTATGTGCATATGGAACAATACAGTATACAAGGACCTATCACTTATTCTCAGGGGCCAAAAAGACAAAGCTGAATAGAGAGTGCTGTACAAATTATTCAACCTCCGTTCTTCTCTATTCCTCTGCTGCAAACAAACTCTAAAACTGAATGAATAGAATGCAGCCGTTCTTCCCAATTATGCGTGTTGATATGCTCTGTGTTCAACAGTAGGAGATAGAGAATCTGGTTCTATTCCAGGCCCTTAATCTTTCTGAAAAGACGACAGCCTCTCTGGCTGACAGCGCAAGGATTAAGTATGTGAGAACCTTGTGCCAGCTTTCAGAGAGAGACCTGGGCATGCAGGAGATGAGATGAACCCTTGTGTGTAGGGATTGGAGTGAGATCCGGAAGAACTCTTTATCATCCTTGGAATTCTTGAAGTAGTTCTAGTTCTCATACCTGAGAAACAATACTCGATTCACAAACTTGTGACTTGTGGGGCTTTGAGTTTAGAGGCAACCTGCATTTGATTTAATTATCTGTTGTCCCTATAATATATATAAAATAAATATGTATATATATATATATATAAAAGAAGGGACTCTACATTTTCAATTTATATTGGACCTTGTAAAAATTAGATAGCTCGTTCTTCCAGGGGGAAAAGTACTTTGAAAGTTAAAAAGGATAATCAGCTGCTTTCTTTTGGTCTTTGGGAAAACATGACACCTGGCTGGAATGGCCATGCTTGGGTCTATGCTGCTTTCTCCAAAGAATTACGCAGTTAATCATCATCTAGAGACCTGTCTTCCAGTTCAAGATCACTCTCCCTTCTCCACTTTAGGAAAACACCCTCCTTCAAGACTTTTCAGATGCAAACACAGCTGCCCTGTCAGCAATTCAAACTCTCCTGCATTTAAGTGTGTCCATGTGATTTTATTTGAACCATTGAGATGTAAATAGACGTGCTTGGAATTTCCAGGTTATTGCCTTGAAGATGCCAAAGCCAAAGAGACAGAACTCTTTCTTTGTTCTTCTCACAGGCAGGGGAAACAGATGTGCTGGTGGCCCAACTTTGATCATCTAGACAGGATGAGGGGTGCTAGGGGAAGGCAGAGCAAAGTGCAGAAGGAACTCAGGGCTTTGCAAGACCCCCTGAATGAGGTCTGCCACCTGGTATTCTGGAGTGTCTTTGTTGCATTACCTGAGCTTCTGCCCTAACAAATGTTCAGCATAAATCCTTGTGGGCTGATTTGCAATCAGAATTTTTCAAATAATAGTCTTCTAAACTCTGAAAATGTTTACATAGGGAGAATTATTAATTTGCATTAAAATGCATAAAACTAAGTTGAACCCAATTTTATTTTTGGTGATTCTCAGAATTTTTCTGTCTTATGAGCCTCAAGGTCATTATTATGAATAGTACATATCTATAGATGTTGGGGCTTGAGTAAATCTATGATAAACTTGGGACAAACTCCTGAAATTACATTTTCAAAATAAATTCCTGAAGCTCTCTTGTTTCATTGTAATTTATATCCATTATGAAAAAGGACAAAATAATGTTTAAAACAGTTTTTGTGAGTTTTCTCATTATTGGAAACAATATGTACACTTTCATATGTCATGAAAATGACGTAACAAGTAGAACTTTACTTTTTACACCTTAAAATGTCTCAATGATTGAAACTGTTAAGACTTAAAATAATATGTTGATAAACCGTTTGCAAAGACACTGAGGAATCATATGGTCACAAGTGAAGATTTTACATTTACCTGCCCCAATGACTCTCTCAATGCGAATTCTTGAGGGATCAATCTCCTTGGCAAATTCATGGACTGCTAGGGATGGGTCTTCATATGTATCTGGATCAATGTAAGTTTTAATTCCTGGGAAGCGTACTGCAACAAAAATACAGAATTGATTAAGTTTAAGAGTGTGTCAGTAGTCATACATCTTGTGAATATTTAAAATGGAAAGTGACATACTGAAGTAGTAAGTCTTGTCATTTTAATTCTCATTTTTCTTCCTGCCCTACTCTTTGCCTTCATTAAAGCTTTGACTACCTGTGATCAAAAATTTATTTCCATGCAGGCAGGCTCTGTGGCTCATGCCTCTAATCCAAGCACTTTAAGAGGCTGAAGCAGGAGGATAACCCGAGGCTAGGAGTTTGAAAACAGCCTGGGCAACATAGTGAGACTCAGAGCAGGCACCAGTAGTCCCAGCTACTCAGGAGTGCTGAGGCAAGAGAATCACCTGAGCCTAGGAGTTTGAGGTTGCTGTGAGCTATGATTGTGTTACTGCATTCTAGTCTAAGTCACCGAATAAGATCCATCTCTAAAAAATAAAAGTAAACTAAAATACTTCGCTCTGTATTAATGGAACATGACCTGGTGGTTTCATAGTGAGAGTAAGCCTACAGGTTTCAGAAAACACTTTCAAAAATTTTTTTCTGTAAAAGTTTAATCAGTTCACTCATCCACTTAAAATCCAGTAAGTTTCACATATCTGATACAGCTCAGGATCGAGCTCAGAACACGGAAGAAATGAGGCATAAGCTTCCTGGGAAGCAGGCAAGCCCCTTAGAATCCTTTGAGGACCCTTGTACTCTAAAGCACTAGGTTTCATGAACTTATACCCCATTCCTATAGTCTCCTCCTTTTCCAGAAACCCTCAAGCAGTAAAGACCCACTGATGGTGATAAGATGGGGCACCTTCTGGGACACAGATATTGGCCATTTTCTGTATTCTTGTAGGTTCTTCCAGGGCCTGACTATATTTAGTCCTAAAGAAAACAACCAGCTTGTCTATTCTGGGGGAAGGATGGGAATCACAGGCTAAACTCTGGTCATTAGTTCTGTAGCTGCTGTTCTTTCCTTTGTGAGGATGGAGTGCTCGGAGCCTACAGTACAAGGATCTGCAGGGATGGCTGGAAAGCACGAATGTGCAGTTGTGTGTTCACGTGTGAACTTGTGAGTATCTGAAGATATCACAGACTGCCTCTGTCTGTGAACATCCCTTTGTCATTTTGTTCTTTAATTTGTTTTTTAAATTTTTTGAGGCAGAGATGAGGATTATTTTATATTGCTCAGACTGGCCTCAAACTTCTGGGCTCGAGCAATCCTCTTGTCTCAGCCTCCTCAGTAGCTGGGACTATAGGTGTAAGCCAGCTCACCAGGCTCATTGATTTCTGTTTTCCATCACAGACTGCTTTCTCCTAGAGGATAGGAGATCATTTATTAAACATCATTTCACATACCTTAGGTGTGGTCTTATGGATAATAAGCACACACATGAGAAGCCTTTACTGAATACAAATTAGTAGGGCTTAAAAGACCCATGTGAAATTTGTGCCCAAGTAAATGATGTTTAGTTTTCCTGTTAGTCAGATTTTGAAAGCCATATATAAAATACCCAGAGTTAACTGTTGTTTGGGTCTCCTTAGAAACATGCTCTTGCCAGAAAATCTCAAAAGCAAACAAATGAAAGATAATACAGTGAGTATAGAGGAGGTGACGCAGGGCCCATTACTAGCAGTAATTTGCTTCATTCGGTCTTCTATGCCAATTGTCTTCATTGGCACATTTGTCTCCTGTCTTCTTAGTGCTGCATATGCACCCATGAGAAAATTAGCATTTCTCAAAATAGCACCAGAAAAGTGTATTTCCAGGCTCACCTCAATCTGACACTGATTTTGAAATGCTATAGTTCTCTTGGCTCCCCAAAGCTTAGGCTGGGAGAAAGGACAACATATAACCTGTACTGTTATTTCATATTCAACATGATATTTCTATGATGTAGCAGAATTTGTGATTTCCAATGGAGTCTGGACACTGAAATCCAGTAATGACTACCAAATGGTTAGTAGTACCTAATCAAATATGTGGTCATGTTGATAACATTACTGTGGACATGGATAAAAAATATAATTTATTAACTCATATATGGTTTTAATAATTAAACCCATTCAATTATTTAAGGTGTACCTGTTTCTTTAGAATACATTGATTTGTTAATGTCTCCTTTTTATTGTCAACATAATATTTGTTGTATGGGGAAAAATCAACCCAATTTAATTCCAATATTGAATATCTGGTTACTAATTTAACTTATTTCTGTCTTCTTAAACATCAGTTTGTTATCTTTCTTCTACCTCTTTGGCTTCTTGGGTTATTGTCATTGCTTCTTGCTGGGCCCATCTGGGTTAGTGAATGCTGAACTGCTCTTTGAAAAACAGATAATAAATGCCTCAGGAGCACCTTTCCCCTCTGCATCTCATCAAGGTTGCCCAGCATAAGTCACTAGCCGAAGCACCCAGACAGATACAGGTTTCTGCAATCCATTTATGGCATTGCCAAATATCAGCTCTCTCACCTTTGCCAGTCTCAAAATTATTGTACAAGATAGGAGAGCTTGCTCAAAATGCTTAAGTCTTGGCCCTACTCTGAACTTTCTAAGTCAGAACCTTGGATTGTAAGGTGGGATTGGTCCTTAGACCACTTTTTGAGAAACAATGTGAGCCTTAAAAATAGCCCTAAGTTATCCCACTTATTAACACTTTCTCATTGAAATCCTTTCCTTCCTCTGGAGAGTGAATTTAGATTAAAAAGTCTCTTACACCATTTACTCAATTTGAAATAAAAGATGAGAATATTTAAACAAGTTGAGTCACATATGATCTCTGTTAAATTGCTAATTAGAGAATATCCCTTTCTTGTGAATTCAGCGTCTCACAATAGAAAAGTTGTCTTGACAAATAGTTTGTAATTTGGAGGTAAAGGTGGAGGTGGGCAGTGAGGAGGAGAAGGTGCCAGTTATCAAACCAACTACAGCAGTAAGTCTAGGTTGCTTAGGAAGAGATCCCTCAAATGAATGCAACCTTGTAGTCAGCCCAAGAATTTCACACACATTCTAAGAGTTAAAAAGTGGATATTCTTTTTTAGTGTTAATGAATTATAAATTTTTGTATTTGTCATTTATTTAAATGACAGTCTCTACCAAAAGGAAAAAAAATATATACCTCAATATTTCTATATCTAATGTTCTGCTAAAGAAAATAAACTCATATTCCGGAGCCAATGAACATTATATTTAGTGCTAAATAACTAGATATAATCACTCATATTTTTAGCAAATTTAGTCTGTTGTGTTTTCCAGAAAGCAGTGCTGGGAAAAGGTAATATCATTTAAAGAGAAGCAGATACAATTTCCATCAACCCACGTGAAAATCAGATGAAAAGTATTAATTCTAAAAGGTTGAAAGTAATTTTATTTTTCTCTCTCAACTTAATAAACACAAGTTTAAAATGCATTCTTGAAGTGCTGGAATAATATATCATAATGGAAGGGAGTCACCACACTACTTACGATGCCCATTCTGTAACTGGCTTCTTCTCTTCTCTTCTGACTTCATTTTGGCCTTTATGTACCACTGACATCTTTTGAAAGGGGAAACAGAAAAATTTTTTTAAGAATCATGCTGGATAAGCACCTATATCAATTCAAATAAATATTATTTATGAACCGAGTACTTGTCATAAACATTGCTTTTAAGAATATAGTTATAACATGTGAAAATACTCCATAGAATGCTATACTTCAAAATTAGCCTCAGATAAGAATAAAATACAGTCAAGTGGACTGATGAATCCAAAAGCTAAGAATTTTAGAAATGTTTTTAATAATAAGCTATATCTACTTATCTTCCCTTATATGACTTCTAATAGCTTGAGTTGGAAAAAAGCATTAAAAGTCAAAATGAGACTTTGTGATGTGGGCCATTCTCACTGGGGTTAGATGATATCTCAGGGTGGTTTTGATTTGTGTTTCTCTAATAATTAGGGATGACAAGCATTTTTTTCATATGTTTGTTAGTCATTCATCTGTCTTCATTAGAGAGGGTACTATTTGTCTCTCTTGCCCAGGGGTATAAAGGATTGTTGACTCTTTTTAAGTTTATTAATTTGAGTTCTCTGTAGATCCTGGTTATTAAGCTTTTGTCTGATTCAAAATATGCAAATATCCTTTCCCATTGTGTGGGTTGTCTATTTGTGTTGGTCATGGTCTTCTTAGCTGCACAGAAGCTTTTCAGTTTCATTAAGTCCTATTTGTTTATTTTTGTTGTCAAAACTACAGATGCTAGCATGGATGTGGAGAGAAGGAAACACGTTTACACTGCTGGTGAGACAGCAAACTCATATAACCTTTTTGGAAGGAAGTATGGAGAATTCTCAAGGAACTCTAACTAGACCTCTCACTTGATCCGCAATCTCATTACTGGGCATCTACCCAGAAGGGAAAAAATCCTTTTACCATAAAGGACGCATGCACTAGACTGTTTATCACAGGTCAATTTACAATCGCCAAAATGTGGAAACAGCCTAAATGTCAGCCAACCCAGGAATGGATTAATAAGCTGTGGTATATGTACATCATGGAATACTACTCAGCTACTAAAAAAGATGGAGCCTGTACATCTTTTGTATTAACCTGGATGGAAGTGGAACACATTATGCTTAGCAAAGCATCTCAAGAATGGAGAAACAAGAATCCTATGTACTCAATTCTGATATGAAAACAATTAATGACTTAGCACATGGTGGGGGTAGAAGATGGGGGATGGGGAGAACAGAGAAAGGGAAAGAGGCAGGGGATGGGGGAAACATGGGGGGAGGTGATGGTACACTTTTTGGGGGGCAGAACACTATTATGGGAGGGTCTTTATGTGACACAATCAATCAACGTAACCTGGTTCTTTGTACCCTCAATGAATCTCCAGCAATAAAAAAATTGAAAAAAGTCAAAATGAGCCAAGGCACAGTGGCTCATGCTAGTACTTTGGGAGGCTGAGGAGGGAGAATAGCTTGATTGAGCTCAGGATTTGGAGACCAGCCTGAACAAGAGTAAGACCCCATCTCTACTAAAAATGGAAAAATTATGCTGGTGCAGTGGTATGTGCCTGTAGTCCCAGCTACTCAGGATGCTGAGGCAGGAACATCACTTAAGCCCAGGAGTTTGAGGTTGCTGTGAGCAAGGCTGATGCCATAGCACTGGGCAGCACAGGGAGACTGTCTTAAAAAGAAAAAGTCAAAATGAAAAAAATGTCTGAGTCAGAATCTCAACAGACATTTATCTTCTAGTTTCCGTGCTAAAAGCATGTTGGTTTGGCACTTTTACTTTATAGTATTTGAAATTTTATAGAACCATGTTCAGTTCTCTGGACAAACTTGTTTCATGAGTTCTTTGACATAAATAAATTACATGATTTGATAGTTCATCAAATTTTTAATTCTCTATGGTTAAACAAAATACATTTGTGGTACACAATCTAATCTTTCAATGTGAATTTTGTCTCGCCTCAAACTCCAGGCCAAATTCAGTAATAATTCAGATATGTCTTACAGATTCCTTCCAAAGCACCTAAGAGATACTTCAATTTTTTTTATCTCATATAATTGAAACTGTTCTCTGCATTTCTATGTCATATAAATTGGCAAAACAGAAATTATAATCTGAAAGTAATTTAGTACAAAATTTTTATCATTAAATTCTTTTTTTAACTGATATTTCTACTCCGTTCTATTATCCAAAATACAAAGTTTAAGCTCATCCATCAAATTAATTAGGCCAAACTTACTTAGACTACAAAGATTGAAATGCTTCCTTTTGAGTTTTTCATATTTACATGTCAAGACAATATTTTCCTATATCTTCATGAAATGCCTTTTCATGTGTGTCTGTGCTATTTAAATCTATTTACTAAAATACTTTCTGAGAAAATAAAGTCTTAACTTACGTTCTACAAGGTACATATAAATGTAGCTTTGTCCAACCTTTCAATATATTGGTCACTATTACATGAAATATCACTTGAAATCAACTTTAATGAAGAGCAGAAATTTGTTTTTTGTTTTTTGGTTTTTTTTTTTACCACCCAGATAATTGAGGATAAATATGATACTGGTGTTAAGTAAAACCACATTTAAAAAAGCATCCCAAACATCCTCAAAGGAACTTTCAAAGTGCAAAACAAACAAAAAAATTTTTCGGAATCAAAATTAACCATCATGTCTAAATTGACAGTCTAACAGTCTAGTTAACATGACATAATTTGAGTCTTTGGAAGCTCCTAATAGGACTTCATCAATTGGCTAAACTTTTGGGGCTCCAAAGTCTATTGTCTCATTACACCTTGGATTTGACTTTACAAAGTGCAAATAATGTAATCTAGTCATATGTACCTTCATATTAATCCAAAATAAATAAATGTGTGGAGCTCCATGATAAGTAGAGTGTTATTAAGACATAAGTGCTGGCTAGGCACGGTGACTCATGCCTATAATCCCAGCACTTGGGAGGCTGAGGTGGATGAACTGAGCTCAGGTTTGAGACAAGCCTGAGCTAGAGTAAGATCTCGTCTATAAAAAGCAGGCACTGTGCCAGGCACCTGTAGTCCCACCTACTTGGGAGGCTGAGGCAAGAGAGTCACTTAAGCCCAAGAGTTTGAGGTTGCTATGAGCTATGATGATACAGTACTCTACAGAAGGTGACTAAGTGAGACTCTGTCTCAAAAAAAAAAAAAAAAATATATATATATATATTTATATATGCCCCCAAATCCATAATGTATAGGCAACATTTATGTTATAGAGATCAACGAATTTACTGTAGGGTTTATTGTTTTACTTATTTTCCTAATATGGCTTGCTAAACATGTAGCAACGGCATCTTGATTTTTTTTAAGCTAAATAAACTATCATTGTGACTTTACATGCAATAAGTTTTTTTATTTTTTTCTTTCTTTTTCAGATTTATAGCCTCACTAAAATTCTTTTTGTCTTTTCCTTCCCTCTGCCCCTCCCTTTCCTCCCTCCTTTGCAATAGTCCTACATAAGATTAGAATTTTACCTTTTCAGCAAAAAACTTAGCCTTCTACCAGGATGTGTAGGGCTGTTGTTTGTCTGCTTTTGTAGCCAATTGACCCTTGCTAGTGATTAAGGTTTCTGTAGGCTGTATTTGATATTTAGAGGCTATAGTGATGAACATTTTGTCTTCAGTCTAATGGTTAATTGGTTTAGAGTCATCGATTTCTTTCTTTCTCTTTTCTTTCTTTTCCTTCCCCTCTTTCTTCCTTCTCTCTCTCTCTCTCTCTCTCTCTTACTTTCTTATTCTGAGACAGAGTTTCATTCACTCTTTCACCCTGGGCAGAGTGCCATGGCATCATCATAGCTCACAGCAACCTCAAACTTTTGGGCTCAAGAGATCCTCTTGCCTCAGCTTCCTCAGTAGAGTAGATAGGACTAAAGGTGCCTGCCAAACACTTGGCTCACTTTTTTCTATTTTCAATAGAGACAGGGTCTTACTCTTGCTCAAGCTGTTCTTGAACTCCCAAGCTCGAGCAATCCACCACCTCGGCCTTTCGAAGTGCTAGGACTATAGCCATGAGCCACCATGGCTGGTGGGGACTTCAAACTTTTTTTCTGTCCACTATAAAAGATGGGTCATATAAAAGTTGTGATGATGGCAAAGAGGGGTTTTCATTGTTTTACCCATGGCAGCCAGCATTATTATATCAGCTAGTTATCCTCCCCAAACAAGAACACTTTCTTTTAATTCAAGAACATTACTATGTCTATTTATATACATGAAGATTTTAAGTTAACATAATAAATGTATATTTAAAGTTAACATACATAAATGTAAAGTGACCCCTTTACATTTAATTTTATAAAGACGTCACCATTTTAAATCAACCATATTAGAATATTCATATTTCTTTGTCTCTTGATAAGTTCTATAAAAGTAGGTTTGCTACAGCTAAATCTGATACACTCCTAACAGCCAGTTGTACTTTGTTGGGGACCCCCACTTGATATATGCCACCAAGTTACTCGTCAATTTTTGATCCAAAGATTTTAATCTACTGTCAAAACTGTGTATTTTATTTTTTCATATATGCATATCCCCTGTAATTTTAACATTCATAAAATATTGGTCCCTAAGCAGAGTTTTAAAATAAAACAAAGGGTGTTTATAGTTCTCCCAACTACTGCCCCTGAAGTTAGCTACTTATTATTTGTGTTCTTTATCAGATATCAGGATTTTCTGTTTTTGGTATAGTTGATGTATTTTAGCTAGAGTCAACACAGTTATGTACTGTTTGGCTGGAATTATTATTGCAGGGTTAAATCACATTTTGCATTATACATTTGTTTTATACATAGTGTTATCAAGTTCACTCTTGAGATATTCTTTGGTGACACTATTGAGATCTAGAATGAAGTTTTTTTTTCCTTTTAGAACTGATTTTAATATATTTGTGATCATTGACAGAACTCTTGGCCAAAGATCAAGGCTTAAATAAGAAAAACACTAATTCTTTTAACTAATTCCATTCATGTCATCTTCATTCACATTCTGTGTTGTCAGTACCTGGCTATGGTAACTATCCAACATACTTAAAAGCTACAAATAGTTTTAATACATGGTCATACCAAACCTGTGTATGAAAATAGAAAGCTAAGGTAGCAACATGGTTAGACCAGTTAGTCAGGATTCAAATCTAGGTCTTTTGCTGTGTTAAATTTATTATTACTTAAGGCTAAATTCACCTTTTATCAATGTCTTTATATTTTTCCATTTTCTTTATTCCCTAGAGAAGACCCAGCATTTTATAGATTCCCATTACTCATATGTTTTAAGTTGGAAAAGAAAAATACTTATAATTAATGTAAATTTTTGATCATATTCCTCTGAAGTATAGAAATATTGAATTTTTAAAAATAAGATAATTCTAACATAGATAGTATCAATACTTAATTGATAAAAGTATCACATTTCCATAATTCTAGGTCTATAAACAGTTTCTATATAAATTGTTTGTCACTATATTGAATTATTTTTTCCATGTAAAATTCCTTTCATGGTATAATTTGATTATAGTAAAGGAAAAAATTCAGAACTAACTTATAGAATACAAATTTATCATTCACAGCTTTCAAACTACTTTTGTCAAGTTTCGGATGCTTCCAGATTCCATATTCAGAGACAAGTTGATACAGAGAACTAATGAGGATGGTTATGTGTTATGTTGCCATGGAAAGTTCCTTGACAGAGCAGAATATGCCAGGATGCCTCTCTACCTCAGGTATGCTCTGTTACATTTAAAGTATTTGGAAATGATAGGGTAGCTTCAGTTACCTCCCAGTGATTAAGAAGAACAAAGTGAGGATGACGAGGAGTGTGAATCCCCCCACGGCTGCGGTGGCTATCACGAGAATCTGCCCTTGTTCTGCTGCCATGTCAGAAGCTGAAACACACATAAAATATTAAAATTGTGCTGGATGACGCTTCACTATCAAAATTATATTACAACTTAGTATATACTTGAAACTATGGTAATAGATATCAAACAAGCCCACTATATTTGGCCTTTATTTTAGTATTTGGCATACAAGATTCAAGTCCAAATCCAATGAATTTAAGAGAGGAGGATTGAGGTTGGAACCCGCAACATAAACCTTTCCTATCCCTTAGAAAAATAGCAATGAAGTAGATGGATTATTAGCACCCCACATTATAAGATTATATAAGTGTTGTAAAATTAAATCAGTAAATGGCCTAAAGGATTATGTTTTATATAATGGCTCATTTTATCTCCTCTTAGACACTTTGGCCAATAGACCAGGATTTATAGACTGTTTTGATATCTATTTCCATTAAGTGAAAAGACAATTATAAAATTTCTTGTAAGAATGGCCTTATACTTTATAGAACTTAATTCAAGCATTGAAGTTATATATTCCCACCTCCACCATAGCACTGGGTGTGCATAGTAGGTGCTTAGATGTTTACTTGGCAATAATTGGAAAACTGACAGGTTAAAGCTTCCTTTTTTGAAGAAAAGACCAGATAATACATGGTAACACTGCATTACTTCTTTCAGTGATAAAACTGTATTTTAAACCCAGATGGCTGCATGTTTTACTAATCCTCTAGAAATCTTTTACAATGTATCAGTTCAATTAATTCATTAGCATTTAGCAATGTTTATGTTACTAAACCCTTAATCAGATATAATTTTTATTGGCTGGAATAGACAATGACTTAATAATAGAGGTAAGAAAGTTGAAGGACAGTGAAATTGAAGAACTTGCCCAAACTCACATAGAACCATGAGCAGAATTCAGCTTTCTAGAATGTTTTCATTTTCCTTCTTATACTATAACTCACAGTTATCATTTAATTAATTATCAATATTCTAAAATGTTAAATCTGTAATAGTATTGAACTTGAATAAAACTTGTTTTAATTTTGAGTACTATAAGTAATTATCTACTAATCTCATCAGTTATAGAAAGCAAATTAGATCAAATAAACTATATATGTGTAACTAAGAAGAAAACTGCATAATTCTCCACCAAAAAAACTTATTAAACTCAAGTATTTTAAAACTTCCATAAAAGTAGATATTTTTTATGGAAATTAAGTATGTAGTATACTATGTGCAAATTTATATCTGGAGTAATAACATTCTTATAAAAATGACATATCTTCTAGAGAATATCTGAACCTTAAATGCTGTTGTCAAGTCGAGAAGACATCTGTGATCGCATTTAAGAGATTTTTTTATAAATGTAAATGCAAATAAAAACAAAAGTCACTTATATTCAGTTTCTAGTAAGAGAAATTTCTTAAAACTTAGAATTAGATTTTAGCCACTGTGACTTAATCAAAACATTTTCAGACAATCTATTACAAACTTAAGTTGTAGCTCATAATCTGTGTAGAGACAAGTTAAACAGTTGCATCTTATTCAACAAGTAATGTACTGAAGCTTTTTAATTAGGCCTTCACAGAATTTCCTAATCATCAAAATGCACTGATATCATGGGAATTAATGTTGTGCCCTAAAATATCACATTTTTTTCATTGAAAATTATTGAATAAATTTTAAGAAATAAATGTTCTACAAAATATCAACTTCTTGAAGATAAAAAGATGGCATTAAAAATTATTTATTTACATCAGCTCTTCCATTTTCAAAATATATAATATAGTTCTAGAGTTTTGAATCTGGAGAATATATTTCATTGTAGGTAGGTAGCTAGTTATTTGAAACCACGTATTGAAAGTGCAGATGGAGTTGAAGATTATGTAACTGGATGTCTTTTGAAAATCAGATTACTTTGTTATAGAAAAGTATTGTTTGGAAACATGTTTTTTGACTTAAATAATTACTTAGTAAACTGGAAGTTTTGCATGTTTGATTACATATTTGTAAACTTTAATTAAAATTTTAATTGGACAGCTGATTGTGAAACATTGAAAAATGCATACTTCTGTATAACTGTTCCTTAAGCCTTTAATCTAGGAATCTAAACACTCCTCTGTGGAGGATAAAATACAAGTCATTTGAAAATAAGAATTTTTAGTGAAACACACTCTTAAATAGAAATAAAATGCTATAGATGATGGGGCTGAGATGATTATCAAATCATCATCAACATCATTTTCCTAACTGCCACCATTTATTTTATAGTAAACTATGCTTGTAGCTTCAAAGTCATTATCAAATTTATATTCACAATGATCTTGATAGGTAAGTACTATTACTATTCCTAGTTTCAGTGGTTTTATTACTTTCCTGAGACCACACAATTGGCAATCCAAATGGTTTATCATCTCTAAGCCCATACCATTATGAGTATTTTAAACCATTATTTCATTAACAGGGAATCAACTAAACCCACCTTTTCTGATTGCCTTAGAATGATTATAGCGTTATTTGACTTTGATTTCATGTCTGCAAAATAGGAATATTAAATTTTCTTGCCACGATTTGTAAGAGTAACTTTACTATGATATTGTGCTATCTGTTAAGGCTACAATAAAATATCAGAAAGGACAAGAAGAGCCATATGAAAATAACAGCACTCAGGACCTGTACTGCTACTCTTGGTCTTGACAGGAAGAATTTCTGCCCCTTTTCCTGTTAGTTGTTGGTACATCACAGAGCTCTGACTTTGTCTCAGGATAAACTCCAAAGCCCTTAAGTTTATTAAAAGGTTTTCTAGTATCTGTCTTTAGATCCAGCCCTCAATCTCTAACTATACTCAATTTCTTCCTTGCATGATTCAGAGTTAATCTCTGGTCAATTCCTAATCACTCCTCCTTCGTGAATATCACATCATTTCAGTAGCTTTTATCTGGTTTAGATTTGGTTAGGTGGGGACAGATGTTCCCACAGGCCTTTAAACTACTTCTACCAATAAAACTATCACATTTTGCTGAAATTACTTTTCTGTAATCTTTTTGATCAGACTGCAAATCCCAGGAAGGCGGGAGCGTTATTCATCATGGCCTTTGTAATGAGTTAAAAGGTGACATCTGCTCTCCATACCCTCAAAATAATGACTTTGCAGATGTAACCAAGTTAAGGATCTTGACCTTCCTGGATTGATCAGGTGGTCCCAAATCCAATGACTTTCTTATAAGGCACAGAGAAGGAGAAGACCAAGAGGAGAAGGGCACGTGAAGAGAGATGCAGAGATTAGAGTTTCACAGCAACAAGGAGGCACCTGAAGCTGGAAGAAGCAACAAAAGCGGCTCCCCTAGAGCCTCTGGAGCCAGCATGCTGTGTTCAGCCACCTAGTTTGTGGCAATTTGTTACCACAGTTCTAGGAAAGTTACACAGAGTCCAAACTAGAGGGCTTGATACAGTGGTGATAACTGTAGGCTGGTGCAAAAGTCATTGCAGTTCTGGAGCATGAATTTTAAATCATTGTAACTAAGCTGAATCAAATACGTCTTTATTAATGAACCATTATAAGCAGCACATTGTTGCCAACAAGAAATAGTTGTTGAGATGATTGAAAAAATGGTAGTTGTTTGGCAAGAGGACAGGTGAATATGGTGAATGAGGCAAAACTTTGTAGCCCAATTCGTTCAACTTTTTTTTTTTTTTTGGCTGGGGCCAGGTTTGAATCCACAACCTCCGGTATATGGGGCTGGTCCCCTACTTTTTGAGCCACAGGTGCCATCCTTGTTCAACTTTTGAAACATTGGTTGTGCAACTTGTGGTCCAATGTGTGGTGGAGGAGAATCGGGCCCTTTGCTGGCCAGTGCCAGCTGCAGGTTTTGCAGGTTTTGGTACATCTCACTGATTTGCTGAGCACACGTCTCAGATGCAATGGTTTCACCAGGATTCAGAAAGTAGTGTATCAGACTGGCACCAGACCACCAAACAGTGATCATGACCTTTTCTTGGTGCAAGCTTGGCTTTGGGAAATGCTTTGGAGTCTCCTCTAAGTCTAACCACCAAGCAGGTCATCTCTGGCCAGTTGTCATATGAAATCCACTTTTCTTAGCATGTCACAACCGATCAAGAAATGGTTTGTTGTTGTTGCACAGAATAAGAGAACGATACTTGAAAACCAGGTTGCTTCTGATTTTTGGTCAGCTCATGAGGCACCCACTTATTGAAGTTTTTCACCTTTCCAATTTGCTTCAAATGCAGAAAGATCATGGAATGGCAGACTTGAGTTCTTCAGCAGCTACTCAGGTAGCTGTCAGAGGATCAGCTTTGATGATTGCTTTGATGGCCAGCCACTATGCTGCTCATCTTCAAGGCTCTCATCTCCTTTATGAAACTTCTTGAACATTTGCTTACAGTTCCTGGGCCAAATGCTTTGTTGATGTTGCAAGTTGTCTCTGCTGCTTCACAACAAACTTTGAGCTCAAATAATAGAATCACTTGCATTTGCTTTTAGTCTAACATCATTTCCCTAGTCCAAAATAAATATACAATAAATAGCAAGTAATAAATCATTAGCAAAAAAAAAAAAAAAAACTCAGAAAGAAATGAGCATTAAAATGATGTATAACCACATTTATTTAAGAATGTATTCCAGTATCAAATGGCAAATTTCAACAATCTAAAAACTTCAATTACTTTTGCAGTTTTTTAAATTTGTTTTTTGTTTTTGTTTTTGTTTGGTTTTGGCCAAGGCTGGGTCTGAACCCACTACCTCCGGCATGTAGGGCCAGCGCCCTACTCCTTTGAGGCACAGGCACTGCCCCAAAACTTTAATTACTTTTGTACTAGCCTGATAAACAAATATTCTTATGAATGAATGGAATGAACAGTTATTTGTACTGGATGATACTGGCAAGAAGAGATCAGGAGCAATACACATTGCAGCCCTCCCTTTGCTATGTAAAGATTTATCTTTAGTGTAGCTGTATTATTATGTAAAGAGAATGCACTACGTACTAATTTGACTAGAAGAATCCAATGATTCTGTATTC